TCAGCAGGAGAAAAATAACCTTCCATGCTGCTCATTTGCCAAGTTTTATGCTCTAATCTGAAAAACAGAGAAAGAACTCTGTGACCAAATAAACTCTACCCACTGATTAAATTTACCAGAGTTATAGAAATGCTCCCTGTCAGCTCTTTTAAAGGTGATAACAGGAGCTTAGCTATCCACTTATTTGTGGACAGTGGCAGTGCAACAAAATGAAGTGCGGTAGTAAAATCAGTGCAAAGAGAAAGACAGCAGGAAACAATGAATCAAACAGTGCTAACCAGCAAAGAAAATCTGCCCCTCAAAACGAGAGGTAAGGCCTTACAAACGGATCAGGGCAAAAGGTAGCTCCATCGAAGGAAAATGGCAGGAATTTTTATCGATGGATAAAAATGACATAGCTACCAGCACAGTAGAAATAGTGTCAAGAAAAGTGGTGCAACCATATTAACAACAGCGGGAATACCAAATATGACAAAGGAATTAATAGCAAAAAAAATAAAATAATGGGAAGTGTTAACAACTTCAGAAAAAGTGATGGAAACAAAGTGGTTTCTCAACGTATTTATGTATAGGGAGCATAAAATCACCACAAGTTAAATCTTTTTTTTTTTTTAAGAGGCAGTTGTGTTAACAATGGCAGTCGTGTCCATAACATTGATGCGAAAAATATCAGTGACAATAACAAGTCAAAAAAATGCCCCCACATCTATGGGAAGGAAGAGGCAGGAAGCACTGTCAAAAGTTCTACTGGAAAGGATGGGACATCCAGTAATGGTGATAAGGAAAATGGCAGGAATGATTAAGAAGACAAACATTACAAAATAGTCATGGATAACATCACACATAACAGATGGGTTCTTAAATGGTGAATATAACGATCACATGGCTCAGGCTAGCTTGATCTCGAAAGACAAGTAGTGTCGGACTTGGTTAGTACTTGGATGGGAAACCACCCAGGAAGTCCAGGGTTGCTATGCAGAAGCAGGCAAACAAACTGAAAACTGTACAGGGTGCCCTGACCCAGATAGCCAAGGCAAGCCCAAACTCGTCAGTTCTCGGAAGCTAAGCTGGGCCAACCCTGGCAAGCACTTGGAAGGGCAACCTCCAAGGAGTACAAGGACCAGGACGCAGAGGCAGATGGTATAAGCCACCTCTCTGAAATGTCCTAATCCCACTAGGGATTACCAGAAATCACCATGACTTCCCAGGCCCGCAAGCCCCCACACACACACAAATACTCACACGCATAAACAGAAAATTGTACAGGACCAACATAAGTCGGCTGTGACTTGATGGCACCTGACACACACATATAACAAGGGGATGGAAGAACCACATTAACAGACTTGCAGGAAACATGCAAGTCAAACCCACAATGGAAAGAACTGTAATGACAGAGCCACAAGGAAAGTTGTAATACTACAGTCAAGTTTGTGATGCAAGCTAACAGTTATTAGTAGAAACCTTAGGTTGATATGGTAGCAGCACAGAAGATGATGATAACAGGGCAAAATCTACTGAGGTAATGCCACCAAGGCAGAAGCATAAGCAATTATGAAGTGGCAGTGATGGAATGTAATGGTAGCATGAAGGCAACAGCATCAATAAGGAAGGTGCAACGAACATGGCAATGGCTTTGGCTACAAGAGAATAGCACAGTCTACAAATGAGGCTGTGGTGATGATGCCATCACAGTGCACATGGTGGTGGTAAAGAAGACACAGAGGATGGCTGTGGCGGTAAAGGAAGCCCAGGTGACGAAGGTGACAACTAGAGAAGTCAGGTAATTGGCTCTCAAGTAACACTGTGACAGCAGGAGGTTACAAAGAAAACAATACCAATCGCGTTAGACACCCATGGCCGTGAGGAGCACAACATGGTGGCATACCAGGCAGGGTACAAATGTTGCAAATAAATAAATAAAAACATGCATCGTGGGGACAAAAGGAAGTCGCGGCAACAATAACCCCGATGATAAACAGTGTCAACAAGTAGCAGAGGCAAGAATTGGGGAACTAATAATACTGACCAGTGGATCACAAGAAAAACTGTGGCGATGACATTTTGACTGGCTAGCACCAAAGTATTTAGCCGGGGCGAAGGTGGCTGCACTATGGCCAGCACCATAGACTCAGTGCAAAGGTCAGCAAAGGTTACATGGCCAGTGGCCAAGCCACGCAGGAAGCCTCCTCCCCCCCACCCCCCGCCAGCAGATGAGGGCTGGGTTGAACCCTGCCCTCCTCACTCAGCCCCCTCTCCTGTCCCCTGCTTGCCCTCACCTGGTGAGGAAGGAGCCCTACTGGACTGGAGGAGGCCGGGGGGCCCACGGGGCGGGGGCACACTTGGCAGGCTGCGCCGGCACTGCTGCTGCTGCTGCCGCTGCCCGTGTTCGGCCGCCGAGCCAGGCCCGGCTGCCCCCCCCTTTTCTCACCCCCCACGCTCCTTGCCCCCCTCCTCGTCCCGTCTCGGCGCGGATCAGGCCCCAGCCACCGACGACGACACCACCTCCTCCCCCTCCATGGCCGCCGCTTACCCGGCTGCCGCCGTCGCTGTTGCTGCTGCTGCTGCATTGTGGGAAGCGGCAGCCTGAGCCGGACCCACCTCACTCGCCGCCGCCGCCCAGACCGACTCCAGCAGCAGAAGCCGCCGCCGCCGCCGCCGCCACCATCGCTATGGGCGCCGTAACTGACGGTAAGGAACAGGCCGACCCCAAGGCACCGGCCCGGCAACGAGGGACGGTAACTGGCGGGGACCCTCCGTCCTTCCTTCCTTGGCCGCCTCGGAGTGGACGGCCACGTTCTCCCTCCCTGGGTGGGCAAGGCCTTCCCTTACGCCGGCCGCTTCGCCAGCCGCGCGTGGTCTCTTCCTCGCCTCATTTTTTACCTCAGACCTCGTAAAGAGCCGGGTTCCTCGACCCTTCCCCCATTTCAGGGTTAGGGTGACTCTCTTCTTTCCCCCGCCTCCCCAGTCTCAGCCACCCTCTTTCTGGGGTTTAGCATGGAGCTTCCCTCGCTAAATATATAAAAAGTCCGATTTCTAATCTCCTGCTAGGCATACCGCCCCCCCACCCCCCCCCGGGGGTTCTGCTTTCTCGTAGATCTTAAACTTGGGGGGGGGGGCTTTCCATTTCATTGAATCTAATTCCCTCCTGCTCTTTCACCCCAAGTTATCTGTACTCGAAAACGCTATCATGCTAGCTCAGCCACCCTGTTCCTCAGTCCAACGTCTCGTGTTAACTTTCGAAAGCTCCGCGCCAGACCGAAACACTTAAGAGTGCAGGCTTGTGCATGTTTATTAGGAAGTAAACGCTTACTATTGAGCCAACTTCAGAGGACGGCGGAAGACCGGAAGGCCTGGCGTGATCTGGTCCATGGGGTCGCGGAGAGTCGGACTCGACTGTGCGACTGAACAAAAAAAACCCGCTTACTTCCCAGTAAACGTGCTTAAGGATCGGGCTGCACGCTTTCCTGGAAGTTTTCAGTGACTTCATTTTGCTGCCAGATTATTTTTGCTTGAAAAGTGGCCTGTAGGTTCACTCAGCTACTCGCCCTGTTTTGTGAATCAGTCCTCTCTTATCTTGATTTCCACAGAAACCTTTCCTTTCTGCCCCCAGTGTGACCTTTTTACAGATTAGAATGCCCCCCCATTCCTGTTCCTCTCTGTCTCTCTCATGCTTCTGAATTAAAATACATTATTTAATGTTTAACCATTGCTAATTTTGTCTACAACTAGTATATTGTAATGTGTACAATAATACAGTAATGTATACAGTCATTGTTTTCAATGCTATAAAGCTTATTTTAAATATTCAAATATTTTGCTAATTGTACACTTTCAGTCTCTCAGATGACAAAAACTAGATAGCTGTTTTAAGGCAGTATAACGTGCAGCAGTTTGCAGCATGCTCTCTCTTTTAATATTATTCACAATTTTGTGTATAATAGGCATTTATCTTTTTAAATTTCATAAAAATTGCAAGTAGTATGGTTTTATATGCTAACTTGCCAAAAATGCATTTTGTATTGTTAATGCAAGAAAATAAGTTTAGGGTTGATAAGAAAAATAGTATTGTACATATTTGGTTGTTTTTTTTTCAAATTTCCAGGAGTTTTACATCTCTAATTTAAATGTCAATTTCCTGATCCTCCCTTCTCCTTCTCTCATGCTCTGTCCTCATCAGGCTTTTTAGAGGGTCCCCCCCCCCTTTGGTTAATTTACAGATTAATATTTTTCTATAGATGCAGGGATGCCCAAATTATTCAAAAGCTTCAGCCATGGCATGTTTTGACTGCTTTTGTTATTGGCATGAAACGTGCACAATGCTATTAAATGTACTTGTGAACATAAGAACATAAGAGAAGCCAATGTTGGATCAGGCCAATGGTCCATCCAGTCCAACACAGGGGCATTAAGATACTGGCTGATTTGTTTTCAAGTCCCTTCCTAATAATCCCCAGCATAGTATTGGCCTTTTTTATTGCAGTCACACACTATCTCAACATTTTCAGTGAGTTATCTACTACGACTCCAAGATCTCTCTCTTGGCCAGTCTCCACCAGTTCGGACCACATCAACCTGTATTTATAGTTAGTATTTTTGGCCCTAAAGTACATCACTTTGCCCTTGGCCACATTGAACCCCATTTGCCACGTTGATGCCCACTCACCCATCCTCGATAGATCCCTTTGGAGTGCCTCACAATCCTCCCTGGTTGTCACCACCCTGAACAATCCCGTGTCATCCGCAAATTTAGCCACTTCACCGCTTACTTCCAAGTCCAAATCTTTAATGAAGAAGTTAAAAAGCATTGGACCCAGTACTAATCCCTGCGGTACTCCACTGCTTACCACCCTCCACTGAGAAAACTGCCCATTTGTACTCACTCTCTGTTTCCTATTAATCAGTTTTTGATCCACAAGAGGACTTGTCCTTTTAACCCGTGACTATTGAGCTTACTTAGGAGCCTTTGATGAGGAACTTTATCAAAAGCTTTCTGGAAGTTAAGGTAAACAACACCTATTGGGTCCCCCATGTCCACATATTTGTTCACTCTCTCAAAAAACACTAACAGGTTAGTAAGACAAGATCTTCCCTTACAGAACCCATGCTGATTCTGCCTCAATAGTTTTTGTTCATCTGTGTGCCTACTAATTCTCTCCTTAATAACAGTTTCCACCAATTTACCCGGTATGGACTTCAGACTGACTGGCCTGTAATTTCCCGGATCTCCTCTGGAACTTTTTTTAAAGATGGGAGTGACATTAGCTACCTTCCAGTCCTCAGGAATGGAGACAGATTTTAATGAAAGATTACATATTTTTGTCAGGAGATCCACAAGTTCACATTTGAGTTCTTTATCAGTTTTTAAGTTGCCTATCAGTCATAGGACCTTTTCTCTCGTCACCTCAATCTGACTCAGGTATTTCAACATCCCTCCCAAAATCAGTGGTTCTGCGAGTGGGCAAACACTTCTCATCTTCCACAGTGAAGAAATCACGTGAAATCATGATAAGTTCCTGGTGTGACATTGTGTACCTTGAGTCAGTGTGGTGTAGTGGTTAGAGATCTGGACTAGGATTTGGGTGACCTGGGTTCAAAATATCCACTCTGCCGTGGAAGTTCACTGGACGACCTTGGGCTAGTCACACACTATCAATCTAACCTACCTCACAGGGTTGTTGTGAGAATACATAGAGGAGAGAACTATGTAAGTGGCTTTGGGTCCCCACTGGTAAGAAAGGTGGAGTATAATTGAAATAAATAATTAATAGTTGTGACCCTAGTCACCATTATCCTGGCTTCAAATCTTGTTTTCCTGTACATAAATGTTGATTGTCCTCTTTTTGCATTCACTCTGCCCTTTAAGCTTTTTTTACATGGAAAACCTAGTTGTCTTTGAATCTAATATAAGATTTAATTGATTTTTTTAAAAAAAATTCAACCTTTATATGCCTCTAAGGCCTCATATGCATAACTAAATGAAATCAGAGCTGTTGTTGATGTAAACATAATGTAGATATTGTTAACAGGGTACTGATATATCGAATAGGAAATACTATATTGGCTGCAATCTTACAATACTTCGAAGTAACTTGCATTGAGATTAGGACTGTAAACAGGTTTGGGGATGGAGTGGTTGCCTAATTTAATAATAGTTTATCTTGCAATAAACAGCATGTTTACATTGCTCTTCTAAAAATATTTTTCCTACTTTAGATGAAGTTATTCGCAAGCGACTTTTGATTGATGGTGATGGTGCAGGTGATGACAGACGGATAAATTTGTTGGTGAAGAGCTTTATCAAGTGGTGCAATTCTGGATCTCAAGAAGAAGGGTATTTGGCTACCTATTATCTATCAAAGGAAAGTAGGAAAGGTTCATCTAGCCCTGAAACTGTATGGCATCAGTTCATTTTAAGAAATTTTTAGGAAATGTATCCAGTTGCAGGCACCAGAAAACAAATTTACACCAAAAGGTATTTGAGAAAATAAATGTCTGGACAGTCTAAATATTGTAGCCAGTTAATGACTGAGAACAGGCTACAGTGTGCCAGTTATTTAACTAATCTACCTGATATCTTCAAACATATGCTGTTCAGTATCCTGTGCAATGCTGTGAACAGTTTTGGTAGCTATTGGTAGTGCATTTTACAGACGCTGCTGATAGCTATGACATGGGCTGACTAAGCAGTATGTCCTGGAAATACATTCTATTGATTCGTACCTCTAGAAGACACTCTGAGAGCCTTGATGTGAAATCAGTAGATGAAATCGAGGCCCCTTGCACATCTCCAACTCTGGGTTGTTTTAGCCCACTCAGTCTGGAGGAAGCCAACAGATTGCTCGTGTCTGTGCTCCCAACCACATGCAGCCTTGATCTGTGGCCGTCCTGGCTCGTCAAAGTGGGCCACAAGGGGTTTCGAGGTGCCCTAAGGGAGATTGTCAACAAGTCCCTCTCTGAGGGGCGGTTCCCGGGGGCACTCAAGAAAGTGATGGTCCGCCCCCTCCTGAAAAAACCAACATTGGATCCGGCCAAATTAGCCAACTATCGGCCGATTTCCAATTTGCCCTATTTGGGCAAATTAATTGAGAGGGCGGTGGCGATAAAGTTACAGGGCTTCCTGGATGATGCTTCCATCTTAGATCCCTTCCAGTCCAGCTTTCGCCCGGGTCATGGGACAGAGACAATGCTGGTCGCCCGTACTGACAACTGCTGGAGGCATCTGGATCGAGGTGGTTCGGCAGCACTGTTGTTAGATCTGTCAGCTGCATTTGACATGGTCGACCACCAGTTGCTGACCCACCACCTCGCCGATGTGGGGATACAGGGACTTGCCTTACAATGGCGTGCCTCTTTTCTCCACGGTTGGGGACAAAGGGTGGCACTAGGGGAACAGCAGTCCCAAAGACACCCACTTGAATACGGTGTGCCTCAGGGAGCGGTGCTTTCCCCAATGTTGTTTAACGTCTATATGTGCCCCCTTGCCCAGCTTGCCCGGAGGTATGGGCTAGGGTGTCATCAGTATGCAGATGACACCCAGCTCTATCTGATGTTGGGTGGCTGGTCGGACTCCAGTCCAGAAGACCTGAACCGGGCATTGCAAGCCGTGACTGGTTGGCTTAGACTGAGCCGGCTGAAACAAAACCCAGTGAAGACGGAGGTCCTGTGCTTGGGTCGGGCGGTCTGGGGATGGGGATCCCTTTCCCGGCCTTCAACAGGGCGGCTCTGGTGCCAGCGCCGGAGGTTAGAAGTTTGGGAGTGCTCCTGGATCCCTCCCTAACTATGGAGGTCCAGGTGGCAGCCACTGTCAGGTCAGCTGTTTACCATCTCCGGCTGATTCGGCAGTTGGTTCCCTTCCTCGACTGCGATGACCTAGCTACAGTGATCCATGCGACGGTCACCTCCTACCTGGTGGAACGAGCTCCCGGAGAAGATCAGGGCCCTGCAGGACCTTTTACAGTTCCACAGGGCCTGCAAGACGGAGCTCTTCCACCAGGCTTTTAATTAGGAGCCGCCACTACCACCAACTATTATCGTTAGTAACAGTGGGGGAGTGGGTTGGCCCTGTATGAAGATCGAGCCACAGCATCGTGATGGATCGGTCACCGCTGAACTGGGACTTTGTGTTACATCTACAGTACGCCATCTAAATTCACCTGAAGGATTAACATCACTGAGCACTTTAATTGTAATATATGGTTATTTTTATCTTGTTTTATATACCTGGCACACGGTGCCCTTAATTGTGAGCCGCCCTGAGCCAGTTCACGGGGAGGGCGGGATAAAAATATAATAAAACAAATAAAATGAAAATTAAATCATTTTTATTGCAATAAATGCATAGTTGCCACCCATTTCTTGGGGGCAAGCAGTCCAGATATATTCCACCAAGACTGCACTTGTGTTGCAGGGACATCACAACCCTTTCATTGGACATGCAATATTTTGTACCTAGGGAAATGTAATTCTGCCTTCAGATAATGGACCTGTTTGTTAAGCAATTGTCTTGTGGAATGTGGCTGTGCAAGAGTTGCAGTAACTGGAGGTATTGACTGTGATATGAAAGATAATGACATAATGCAACTCCTATTCATACCTCACTATTTTTAATGGTTTAGAGCAGAGGTGTCAAGGGCCGGATCTGACATAAATGTCACTTTGTCAGGCCGGGCCATGTGTGCCATAAAACGTAACATGACGTACCAGACATATAAAGTTTATAAAGATGATTTCAGATGCCAAATGGCAATAGCAGGGGTGATTGGATTAGGTTTGATATACAGAGGGGTAGTAGGCATGGAGATATCAGCACTGATAATGAGACAGGAAACCTAGGTCTCAGTTTGGTACAGGAATATTCAGTCCAGGAGGATGCAAAGAATAAATGGAAATAAGTCTGGAGCAGTGACTCACGAAAGCTTATGCCCTGCCACAAACTTTGTTAGTCGTTAAGGCGCTACTGGACTCTTACTCTTTCTACTGCTATTAGAAACCACAACATTCAAAAACCAGTGGGGGAACATTTTACCTTTCCAGGACAGTCAGTTGCTGATCTCCAAGTAGCAGTTCTCTTACAAAGGAATTTGAAAGGGAGATTAGAAAGAGAGACTACTGAATTGCAACTGATAATGAAATTCAAGACAATGCATCCTCCTACTGAATCGAGACCTAGGTTTTATTCTCTCATTAGCAATGCCTGCTATTGTCATTTGGTGTCTGAAATCACTTCACTCTCCAAGATATAAAGACAGATGGACTCGCATTCTAGCTTTATCTGAAGAAGTGAGCAGTGACTCATGAAAGCTCATGCCCTGCCACAAACTTTGTTGGTTGGTAAGGTGCTACTGGACTCTTGCTCCCTTCCACTAATAAAAATGCAAGCTGTGTTGTTAGGTTTCTCCCCCCTAATTTGTTAAAACTAAAAAGGGGGATCTCTCCAAGTGCCATGGGACTCCGTTTCTCTCTCACTCACTCTATCTGGCTCTTTCCCTCCCTCTCTCTGAAGAAGTGTGCTTGCACACAAAAGCTTATACCTATAATAAAATGTTGTTGGTCTTCTTTAAAATGGCATGGGACACCATCTTCTCTCTCTCTGGCTCTTTCCTTCCCTCTCCCTCCCCAGAGAGGGAGGAGCCCTCAGCCAATCGAGCGAAGGGAGACTTGGCTTTCTTTCTCTCCTCTGTGAAGCAGGAAATAGGAGAGACTGGGCAAAAGAAGCTGTGATGCAGGAACAGGAACCAGCAGAGAGCCAGTTGCTAACGGGCCAGATAGCAGCCCTGCAGGGGCCGAATCTGGCCCACGGGCCATATGTTTGACACCCTTGGTTTAGAAGCTGAGTTGTTCCCTCACCATACTGTTTTAGCACAGGAATACTAATTTAGCCTTTAAAAATTGCAATCCCAACATAGACATACCCCTCGCTTTCCTCTCTAAATGAAGTCTTTATGTTATTTTTATTCCTTTTGATTCTTTGAGGGCTATATGCTCCCCTTCTATAGCACTGTGCAAGGGCTCTAGCTCAGTGGTTAAGCTTTGTATGCAGAAGGTTTAATCTCCAGTTAAAATGATTACTTAGTAGATGATGTGAGAACACTGCAATGTGGATTGGGTATTTCAGTATGGTTTCTGAACAGGGACTCACTTTCAAGGCTATATCATGAAAGTGAAAATATGATTGGGCAGGCATCCATTAACAGTATGGATGAACCTTTACAGGTGGGAAAATGCTATCACAAAAATTCAACCAAAGCTAGAGGTGGAGGAGGGGGAGTTTTAAGTAAAAAAGAATAAACATGGTTTAACTAAAGATCAAATCCCCGTGCCACCTTGAAGCTGATAATAGCAATAGTAACCAGACTGCATATAGAAGCATAGAGCTAGTTTTTAAATAGCTGAGACCAAGGTTGGGGATGCTCTTTGACTTCATCCCGCTGGTGGCTTTCCTAAGGAGCACTTGCCTTGGGCTTTTCAGCATCTGCAATTGTATGAAGCTTACTTGGGAGTCAGAAGATGTGGTTGAGATGCTGAGTCAGTCTGATTGGGATTGGGTAGTAAATAGTTGGGAAGGATTAATGACAGAAGCTTGTCCTTTCTATCAATTTTTATACAAACAAATAAAGAGTGATAATTTTAAAACATGTATTAATAGTTAATATAGAGATTGGGTTAACTGCTTTATGTCTCTTTCACATCATCCTTCCTACCGTACACTTCCCAAATACAGGATTAAAGGGAGATTCCATTCCCTTTTTAAACGTATTTCCTCATTGTAATTAAATTGTATCTGTTAGTCCAGACTCTTACAAGATAACAGTTTGGTTATACTGGGTATAAGGGATCATCTTTGCAATGAATAGTTAAATACTTGTAATTAAATTACACAAAGGTTTGCTTTGCAGGTATACATAGGAGTTTGTAAAACAGAAACAATGTTCATTAATGTTCATTTACACTACATTTTAATCCAGACTATATCCTTTGAGAATCATTGCAATATAGGCATGAAATACCAGCTTCTTTGAATGCATTAACTAAAATCCTTGTCTGATTTTTTTAGCTATACCCAGTATCAACGCATGCTGAGCACTCTGTCACAATGTGAATTTTCAATGGGGAAAACTTTACTTGTGTATGATATGAACCTCAGAGAAATGGAGAATTATGAAAAAATCTACAAAGACATAGGTAAACAACAGCTGCATTTCTCCTGCATATTAGTGTCATGTAAAGTGCAATTTTAAAAGAAGAAGCGTCTCCTAGAGACATTTTTATTACAGTTTATTGTGTTAACTATGCAGGGTGTCATAATCCTTCTCTCATCCATTCTCACCACAGTCCTTTAAAGCAGGTTGTCTTGATTCCCATTTTATATACTAAAACATAAAGATGCAGTCTAGATGCCAATTACACCCTTATAGTCCTTGGTTTGTTTGGGAGTTAATCCTAGATTCACATCCCAAACCCTTGCTACTGAAAGACAGTAGATCTTCTGGAATTTAATATAAATGTATTGCCATTTATCTGCCATTCTGCAAGAATATTAATTTAGTAGATTTGCATTTTTAGCATTTTAACAGTAATTACATTTTGAAATATACAATCCTAGAGATGAAACATGAAAGCCAGATATTTTATGTAACGTTAGTACTTACGTTATCAGATTTCAGTTTAAGAAATAGGCATAATGACCTCATGGACTTGGGTTACAATACTTTTTGTGTTATTTCTCATAAAGAAAACAGCATAGCTGCAGCACATGAAAAAATTGCTAAGTGCAAAAAGCAGATTCTTCAAGCAAAAAGAATACGGAAAAATCGCCAAGGTAAGGATTCACTTTGCACTTAGTAACTGTTAATTTCATACATTTGTAACTGGATTGTGATAATCTGCATTCAGATGTCTAAGCCACAGTTTGGTGCACAACTCTGGTTCGTGCTTGTCATTGGTTGGTTGCAATAAAGAGAAAGTTGACGAGAGAGAACTAGGAAAAGTCAAGCCTCCTCCTCCTCATTCTTGATCAAAGATCATCAGTCTCCTGCTGCTTTCTGTCTAGCTGCTTTACTGGATTCCTGAACTTTTTAACTCTTAAGCAAATGTTTTACAGGCTTCTCCATCTTTGTATCTTGCAGTGATCAGCCACACTCTCCCTTCCTGTCCTGTCCAGCTACTCAATGCATCCCCTACTCTGAAACAAAATAGATCTTTTACAAACCAAACCTTTTTGCCTTTTCGTTGCCTTTAAAAATTTCCTTTGGAGGGCCGAAGTCTTTGAAGCACATTCCTGTTTTGTGAGACATCATTAGCAGGGAGGGAAGAGTAGAGGGAAGAAAGGAGGGAGTGTCTTTAGAAAGTACTATTAGTAGCTGGAGCATCCTATTGGTCTTTGCTTTCATCTCTGTGTGTAGAAAGCTGAGTAGGTCAGAGCTGCTGAACAAATTAGGATTTCTGTGTTCAGGCAAGCCATTGGAACAAGTAGAAGCATATTCCCAACAAAACAGAGGTGCTGGGTAGGGGTCTGGCCCAGAAGCAGGGCTATCTCCTGTTATGTGCAGGAGCAGGTTCATAACTTGGGGGTACTGCTGGATCTGGATCTTCTGCTGGATAGACAGTGCTGGCTAGGGGTGCTGTGATTGTTCCTGGGCAGAAAAGATCTTACTACTGTGGTGTGTGCCCTGGTAATGTCTAGGTTGTTGGAAAGTGCTGTGTGCTGTGGTTGCTGCTGACTTACAGCAACCCTGTAGGGTTTTCCGGGCGAGAGACTAACAGAGGTCATTTGCCATTGCCTGCTCTGCATAGCAACCCTGGACTTCCTTGGTGGTTTCCCATCCATCACACTGCTTAGCATCTGAGATCAGGCTAGCCTGTGCCATCCTGGTCAGGGCAACATCTAGGTTAGATTATTACAGGGCTCTGTATGTGGGGCTGCCCTTGAAAACAGTCTAGAAGGTACAGTTGGCACGGAATGCTGCAACCAGAGCACTGACTGGAGTGGGTTGTAGGAACCATATCACTTCAGTCTTGTTCAATCTGCACTGGTTTACAGTTTGCTTCTGGTCCCAATTCAGAATTCTGGTATTGACCAACTCTGGGTGAGCACCTAAAGACTGCCTACTCCAATATGGACCTACCCAGTAACTCCAATCATCTTCAAAAGCCCTGCTTCAGGTGCCCCCGCCATCTGAGGCTAAATGAGTAGCAAACCAAGAAAGGGCCTTCTTGGTTATGGCACCAAAACGTTGGAACTCCCTCCCCGGGGAGATTCATCTGTCTCCATGTATTTTGTTCTTCCACCAGGATGCAAAAAGTTTTTTGTTTAGTTTGGTATTCCAAATAATGTTCTAGAATTGGCTGGGGCTACTCAGTATCTACACCCAGTTAGTATGGGACAAATCTGTAGCTTGCTTTTAGACTCCTGAACCTGGACGTGGTTCTGGGTATGCCCAATAAAACTAAAAGTTGAGTAATAGCTGCCTGTGTGTCAGTCACATTTTGGCCACTTTTCTATTTTGCCCATACACATCCAGATTTGTCCAAATGTGGGTTTTGTGCATAGCATATGTACACTTAGTTTGATTAAAACAGAACACAGTCTGATGGTCAAAAGTTATTTTAGGGTGAGAACACTGCATTTTTAAAAAAATTGATTTTGACAAAATATGGTTTAAAAGGCTTTTATTAACAAACATTTTTAATATATATCTTGTCTATTTGCAAGGGTTAAGGAATATATGCATTGCATGTTTGTGATTCAAGTGCTCACTAAATGCAAAGTTATGTACATGGCACTTAACTGTTAACATGAGTGATGAATACACGTGGTATAATTATATGGCAAAATGGTAATTCTGAAATACCATTTCTAGCTGAGAAAAAGATAGGAATCCTCAGTTGAGTTTTGAAGATATTCCAATTTCCTAAATTTCCTAAACATCCCTATTTCTGTCCTTTCCTTCTAGAGAAAAATAAGCAAGTACCACTAAAAAGTCTGTTGGTGCAATGTATTTTAACTGGCAGGAAGGTGCAGGACTTTGGAACAGCCAAGTGGTCAGGAATCAGGAACAGCAGCAGGGCCAGACAGACCCTACTGTCTTACTAATTGCTGCAGAAACCAAGGTGGTTTCTGGGATGTCACAATAACACAGTTGCCCAGATAGTGGAGATACAGCAACAGTTGACATATAGAATCCTTATGTAAATCAGGTCACCGGACCAAATCGTTCAACCAATGAAGGGAGAGCATGGGGAATGGTACTGTCCCTCGTGGAAGCAAATCAGAATGGTGAGGCTGCTCTGATGCAGCCTAGCCTCATATGCTTGCAAACTGTTAGGAACACCTGCAGAAAAGTGGAATAATCTTGCACCCTAAGGCTTTTTCCTCCACTGCATCTTGGTTAACTATCAAGAATGAGGTCAGTAATAATGTTTCCATTACAAAATGTAGGTGTTCCCTTAATATTAGCTAAGAGTATGTCTATAGAACCAGCCCAGCTTGATATTTTTTTTTGAAAGCAGCTATTAGTCAAGTTGGAAAAAATGGTTACAACTTAGAGTGTTCCATATGGCATGACACTATATAACTATATAAGCCAATGCTATATAAGAGTGCTATATAAGCACTCTGAACAAAATCTTTTAAAATACTGTATATAGACATTATGGTTATGGAATCCCACCTGGCAGGAACTTTGGGTATAGGACAGGCTAAAAATTCAAATATCTTTAGGTACATCAAGAAATCTCTGAATGAGGGGGGGAAATGACCATGTCTAATTAGACAGCATGCTCTAAATGTTTAACAATGTTCTGAGCTGTTTGTTCCAGGAAGTTTCTCCAGAGAGACTAGTAAAGAACAAGGGAAATTATTGGCTCCACTGTAGTTAGATAAACTGAAGAAAAACACAAACTATATAAGAGAAGCTTGTACTCTGAGCAACATAAGTAGCTATCCCCCATTTGTTGCTTTTGAGATTTGTGGAAATGTAACATTTATAAAGGCTGGAAATTCTAAGAACTACATAGTAAATTTCATGCACTGATAAATATGTTCTGCACATCTCCATATACCCACTTAAGTGGTCAAAACAGCACTCCCTGAGAAGAAAGGTTTGGGTATTTAAGCAATTCATGAGATACATCATGAAGATAATAACCATAATAATAGTAACAAGAGCTAATCAAGGAGGAAAAAACCATTATATCTAATTATCTAGTTGACTACAAAGGTAAACCAAAGGGCAATTTGAAAGTGTAACTTGAAGTTTAATGCTCCTGTACCCTATGTAAAGAAGGTTTCTTTCCAACACGTGGACGCAGATATGAGAACTGTACCATTGGTTCCCGTCAATTTGATTCTCAAATAAGATACTTTGTGATTTTTTAATGAGGATGTTCTGAAAGTATTTGAAAATGGGTGCCCATACTATAGGCTGTATCCCAACCGGTGGTTCTTCCATTCAAGGAGCATGATGCTACCATCTCCCAGGGACATTTTAGCCTCCCACAAGAGAGGGGAGATGGGGAAAACACACTCTTTGAGCAGAAGTCCTTGAGCCTGTGGAAATGCTGGTCAGGATCCAAGCGTATATGTTGAAGTTGTCATTACTTTATGAAATAGTCACATTCATTTAGAAAGTACTATGTTCATAATTGCCAGTACTCAAAAAAAGAAAGAAAAAATCATCTACAGTGATTTATGAGGATGCTAAATGGCAAATAAAGAGAACTGCATGTATATTGAACATAGCTATGGAGGAGGAGGTACAGTGCACATGTTGGATTTTGTTTTATTTACTTCATGTTATTCAAGAGTTTTGTAATGAGTAACAAATTGCTGAGTAAGAGATAAGTTAAAGTAGTACTGTGGCTCCCCTGTTAGGGAAGGGATGTGAATCCCTTTTGTAAGTTACAGGTGTAAGAAGGGCTGAGAGCAGCCAAAACTTCCTCTCAGCCCTGTTTAATAAAAGTGAGAGGTATAACAGGGAAAGGGTTTGTGTCTGATCTTTGTGAGCTGGACTTTAAAAAGTGAATGAGTCATTAAGACATAGGGAGTGATTGGGACATGTGTTGGATTTTTTGGCATGAAATCAAGGGTTATATAAAACAACTGAACCAGACTCCTCTGTGGTCCTAACTGTATTGTTTTAGGCAGGCTGTAGACCTACATAAATGCACACTTTTCCTAATTTATAATCCACGTTATTTTTCCAGAATATGATGCCTTGGCTAAAGTAATACAGCATCATCCAGATAGGCATGAAACACTGAAGTAAGTGTGGTCTAACAGCTGATACAAACATTGTCATATAATATAGTTTTGTTAGCTACTGTCAAATTTTTATGAAGTCAAATAGTATGAAGTGGCAGTCACTGACAAGACAGGATAGTTTCTAAGGATGTTATTAAAATACTTACAGAAGATTTGAACTAAGATATACAGAGAGAGAGAGAGCAGTTAATATTGCCTTTTGGTGTTCTGTCTTTCTTTCTGCCTAATCAAGGGTCGGGAATTGTACTGTGCTTTCTGGGCATCAGTGATACTTCTGAGATTTCCTTATATGTTGGCTGTAGTGTGGCCTGTTAAGAGATGTGAAGGAATGGAAAAACTTAAGAAGAGAACATCCGTGGGGGGGGGGGGATTTTTTTTCAATTGTTCAAACAGAAATTTTTGGGAGCATTAAAATTTTTCTTGAAAATTATTCCAAAAGATAAAAATATTTAATTGTTCTTAATGCTTCCTAAAATTTCTAATCTTTCTGTCTGAATAGTTGTACATTTGAAAGAAGTCTTCAGGGGAGGGAGAACACTCCCCCCCCCCATTTTTCCCCAGGCCTTCACACATCTAAGAATAACCCTTATTGCCACAGCTAACAAATTATTGCTAGAAAGCAAAGGAAGTAGCAGGGGAAATATGACCAAGCAAAATAAATGCTGAACCCAGACTTTGGAGTTAATTGGTTAATAATTAGCCTTGAAGTTCTAAATAATGGAACTACATACTCCAGTCTCCCCATTTCCAGACCTCAGGTCTATTCATCCAATGCCCTAACTTTATTTTTCAAGGCACATTTCTATCCCTCTGTCAGTTTGAGTGTCACTCAAACATACTGTAATGCTAGTAATTAATTATGTCCTTGCCTTCCCATATTTTTTTTAAAACCATCACTGATTAAAGTACTGTATACTCACTGACAAGAAATTTAATTTGTTTTCAGGCGGTTAGAAGCTCTAGGAAAAGAACTTCAGCATCTTTCTCACATCAAAGAAAGTGTTGAAGATAAAGTAAGTATATTATTTTTCTCCCTCATTCTTTTATGGCATGCTTATATATATTTAGAGCTAGGGAGTAGCCATGTTTGCTTTCAGTGCGATAGATTATCAGGATTCTTATGATATCTGAAAGAGTAACGTATTTTTCTATAGCAAGTGATAGTCTTGAGTCCAGTTGCATCTCAGGAAGTGGGCTGTTGTCCAGAAAAGCTTATGATGGAATAAAAATGTGTTAGCCTTTAAGGTGCTATCTTAGCTATGTGAGCATTTAACACTACATGAGAGAGAGAAGTTCAAGGAAAGGGTTCCTATATTTCAGTATTCTTTTTTTCTTTTGTTTCAGTTGGAGCTGAGACGAAAGCAGTTTCATGTCCTTTTGAGCACCATCCATGAACTTCAGCAGACACTGGAAAGTAAGTCGTTCTATTTACATATGTAGACATATCTTGCTTTCCTCTCCTGTAGGTGTGAGGTCAGATCCTGCAATCTGAAAGCAGAGTTCTGTTTATGGAACTGGGCTTTCCACCTTCCTCCTCTTAGTGCAGTATCTCCTGGAGGTTGGGGGGAAATGCAGGAGTGGCAAGCACTTTGGCATGAGGAAGATGGGGAATCAGAAATTGGAGGCCTGCCCTTGTGCAAGTTGAAGATACCTTCTGATTGAGCCCAGAGTCTTAAGGAAATCTGTAGCACTGCCTCTGTGAGTAGGAGGAATGGAATTTGGAGTATATCTTATGCATATTTATATTGTATGCGTTTTCAGTTTTTACATTTACAGAAATCACAAGGCTAGCAATATCTGCTGCTATCATCTGTTCTAAATTCAAAGCAAAAGTGCCACTTTTTTTGCAAATTATGCAAATATCTGTCTTTCTATACCCATTGCAAGAAAGATGTATACAGTGTAGCCCTAGGCTCTGTTGCTCATTATAATGGTTGGGGGAAATTTACTGAATTCACCATATTGAAGTACATATCATTTCTTCAGATTAAATATTTTAATGCCTGAATAGTTGAAACTTACAATATTTAAAAACATGTATCAGTCTTGATTACGAGTTGCCTTTTTCTGATTTTTATCATTAAACCTCTGTTAGGAAATGCTGAGTTTAGTACATTAACCCAAATATAAATGTGCAAGAGGGGAAAAAATGTGTGGAAATTATACCAGTTTCTAGTCTAACTTCTGTTGAAAACTTTGCTGGAAATCCACTGTGGGAAAGATCATTAGCTTGGATTCTAACTAAGTTTTCTGCTGCCAAAAGGTAACTTCTGCCTGCAAGGCAGGGTCTGATCTTCACCAAATACAACATCCCTGTACTGTCCCTGGGAGCCTATTGACTTCCAGGCTGTAACAGGGGGAGAACTTACATAGCATAGGATCGAAGCTATTGTAAGTTAGCCCTTAAAGTGGTCTGAATCAACTGGGTAAATCTACATAATGAAATGATTGTATTTTGATTTACTTACCTAATGATCAAGAGTAGTTTTTATGCAGTAAAGTAGCAACTCTTATCAACTAACAAATATTTTAGCATTGTCTGGATATTAAAAATCCATTATCCTCTAAGCATTCTAAATAACAAAAACAATGTTTCAGATGATGAAAAGCTTTCAGAAGCAGAAGAATCCTCAGACAATCCAATGGAGGTGGAAAATAAACAGTAGATGGACTTTGGATTTAACTCAGAAGCCTGGAACAACATTTTTTCTCCCCAAATTGAATACTTAGAAGTTTGGATTTTTAAATATTTTTTCAACAGGAAACTAAAATATGCTTCAATTAATTTTTGTGAGTTTGTCCTAATCTTTGAAATATGCTTTTACATTTTTATGTAATACATAGTTAGAATTGTGTAAAAAGCTGTTCATGTTTGTATTCACACAGTTTAGCAGCGTTGCACCCTTCTAAGTCAATTTAAACCATTGGGTTTAAGAGAGTTGTAACTTGGTTTAGGATTGCGGTGTAAAGCATGAAATATCTGTCCCTAAAGAACAGCCTTGGTCCAGTTGTTACTTTTCCATGCAGAGCAGTTTCACTGCACTGACACAGCTCCCTTTCCTTCAAAGTCTTTCTTATTCACTTCATATTTTAAAAGGCAGCAAAATCTTGAACTTTCAGAACCATTTGAATTGCTGTCAGTAAGCAAAGGAATACCCTTGTCTTCCGAGTGCCACTTCCTGAGACAGTGAAATAGCAATCCACTGCTGCTGAAATTTTAAATATTACTAACTTGAAATCCTTTCTACTTTTACCATCCCTGATGGGAGTCAGCAACAACATCTACATGGAAAACACATATTTTTAAGTTTATGCTTCTTTGTAGTCCTTAAGGAAACCCTTTGAAACTGCTTAGAGGACTGAAGTATCTTGTTTCCCAAAGATTCGCATTGTTGTAGCTCTGCACTTCTCAGAGCCAGTAATTGTATGGATTTTTCACTGATGTTATCCAAGAGATTATCCACCTAGTGAGAAATAGGTATTAAATAAACTGACGTATAGCAAAAGAAAAGCAAATTTATTTGATCTGAAAGAAAGATGAAAGGCTTTAGTCATCTAAGGTACTGTGGGGGGAACGCTATAGTGGTGAAATGTAAAAATTGTTTACTCTGCAAGCTCTATGTGACAGATGCTGTCCTTGCAAATAGCGTCTGGCAGTAATTAAGAACATGAGCTGTGAGCTGGAAGTCCTTGTTCAAATCTCAGCTTTGTGAACTCTGAGTGCCTTGAGGAACATGCTATCAGTCCATCCAATATAATATGGAAACAATAATAGCCTTCCTTATTGAATTGTTTTAAGGATTACTGAGATTATGTGAATGACTATTTGGGAAAATGTGCTAAATAAATACACGGTAACAAAACACATTTACCTGTAAAACTACAGTAGGGTACAATCTCATAGCATATTTGGTAGTAGGGGTGTGCATTCCAATATTTCTGTTCTGAAACAGTGTCCCAGGTTCCCTGTTTGGTTTTGGACTGGGTATTTCTAATTAAAACTGAACAAGCGATTTAGGCAGTGTTTGGGGTTGGGAATATCTGGATCTGATATCTAAAAAAGAGGAAAAAATTGAAAAAAGGAGGGTATACATTATTTAAATAAATAAAGCTGAAGATTGGGGGGGCAGGGGAGGATGATGGGTGAGAAGGAAGCCTGGAAAGAGAACAGGATATGGGAGCTGCCAGAAAGAAAGAAAGGAGAGGGGGGAGGTGCCTCCCTGTAAGTCCTTGCAGGATCCTGATTGTCACTATCTAATTCTCATCTTGGTCTATAGATATTGAAATCTGGAGACTGCAGTCATGAGTTGTTTGGGAAAGTGGGGGCTCATTTCTTTTGACTCTCATCTTACACATTTCCTTTTAACATGACAAACTCAAAACACACCATTTTCTTTGTCTACTATATTTACGAGAGATATAACCTATTTTCAGAGGAATGTCAATTGCTCTCATACATGATGTGTGGTAAATATTTGTGGTTAAAAACAAGTCATTAAGACCCTTGTGGGGGTTGTTTGTATTAGTAATCAGTTAATGGATGGGCACATCTCTGTTCTTATAAAATGTGAATGATGCAGATTTCAGGATGCTTTGTGGTTTTTAACAATCTGAGCCCTTATTTTATTAGAAATAACCATTTATTCCATTATTAAAAGGCTGATATAGCTGTGATGTGAATGATGAAGTAGCTTGTTGACAGAAACCTGCAGAAACTCATGCCACAACACATTGTTTGTTAAGGACGTCACACCTATTACAGGGGTGAATTTCAGTATAAAAGCACCTTTTGGGGGGTAAACTTACCAGTTTCTCATAAAATCTGCATAGAAGGTAGCTGTACTCTTGGCAAATTTTACAGCTTTGGAGGCTAGAAAAGTTATCTATGTCAGTGATTCCCAACATGAGTGCAGTGTGTTTTCTTCTGCCCACTTCCTTCTTTACTGAAGCATATTTACCCCAAAACAAAGAGCTAACCCCGGCTTTCCACCATCTCTTTGGAGCAGTAGATGCTTCAGAAAAATCCAGAGGCATCACCTTTCTATCTGCAGGGAGCACTCATACAGAAAGAGTTATATTCATTACAGGAGGACACTTGGCTTGGAACTTCCCAGTACTTGACTGGACCCACACCCCAGAGCAGCCATTTGGTGGTGCTGCGCCACTCTGTTCTCAAAATTCCAAAATGCCTGCAGACTAAAAAGGAGATTCAGATATTGGTTCTGGGAGGCAAGTTTCAGTTGCGGCGGTCAAAATTATGCAATGAGGTATGTAGTCCTTAACTTTGTAATTAGATAACTAGACATTTTCAGCTTTCTGTTATACGTGCTGAGAATACATAGGCTACAGTTCACATGTCTTTTTAGCTGAAATACATTTTAAACTTCACCCTGTATTATTAAAGGAAGAAACCAACATCCCAACTCAAGATGCGGACCTCAAGATTTGGGAGATGAGCCATAGTATTTTGTATGTTTGACATACTAGGCTAGCTGCCACACATATCCATTTGCATGATCATTGATAGTGGAGCTACAAGTGATAGCTGAACTGAGATAAACAACAATCTTTGGTTGCATATGTATATGTACCTTCCACTAGTATATAAAACCTTTTTAATAAAAATCACATGGTCAGGCTTGTTGTAATCTCAACAAAAACAGTTTGAATGGCAAAGATTTAAACCACTGAGGGCCTCACAGCCAAAATGTGTTTGCTTTTGCTTGGTTTACATGTATTTTATGATATTTGTAAACGTACTTGGTTATAGGAATGAAGCTTGTAACTGTATGACATCCCCTTGTATACAAGCGCAATTTTACTGAAAAGGTTTTGTATGCTAGGGGAAGGTGCACATATATGTAAGCAAACGTTGTTTTGTGATATACGGTTTTTAATATTTGCAATTCGATTAAAGGGCCACAGTGGCTCAGAGGTTAAAACGCTGAGCTGCAGACCAGAAGGTCTGTAGTTTGGCAGTTTGAGACCCTAGTGCCGCGTGATGGAGTGAGCTCCCGTCTCTGGCCCCAGCTCCTGCCAACCTAGCAGTTCGAAAGCAAGAAATTGCAAGTAGATAAACAGGTAACAGCGTTCTGTGCGCCTCAGCGTTTAGTTACGCTGGCCACATGACCATGGAAATGTCTTCGGACAGTGCTGGCTCTTCGGCTTGGAAACTGAGATGAGCTCAGTTCCCTAGAGACGGATTCAACTAGCTTTCAAGCAAGGGAAACTTTTACTTTACCTTTAATTTGATTAAAGCTTTCCATTATAAATTTTAGATTTTTTTGTACTTGACCATGATAAGTCTATACATAGATATATATTTTTCTTTCTGCAAGCTTTTTGATTACGAGTCTTCTGGATTGAAATTTTCTTCCCTCTTTTTTGTTTTTGTTTTAAACTGAGATAAACTCAATTCTCTAAACATCTGTAACATCAAATGTATGACAAGAAACCAAAGTAATCTCTTAAAATGTAACAATTGTATGCACTAATTTTTTTAAAGGTGAAGGTGGTCCAAATTAATGACTTTTTGAATAGCAGGGCAGAATTTGTAAGATAGTAACACCAGTCAATAACCCATACTGTTCAGAGCAACTCTGATTACTAACTGGAATATTCCAGCATAGATTGGTGGTGATTGCATTCAATGGTGAGAAGTTATTCTTATACTCTACTTGTAGCTGTATTGCAGAGAAATAAATTCCACTACAGCCAGCTTCTAAGTAATGTGCTTTTAAAAAACACCTCTAAAGACCTGTGCTGAATGATAAAATTAATGTGTTATTTGAAGATACCTGCATTTGAAGATTCCCTACTGTTATGTCTGAATGGTACCACATGGGTGGCATACTTTTCTTCTTCTTTTTGAAAACTGAGAACGTCTTTTTAGGAAGATCTGAAACCTGTAAACCCAAAGACAACAAATAACAGTCAGAAATTGTTTCCATTATTCATACTTGGGTTTCCCTCCCTTATAAAAAGAATAAGAAGGTTCCTTTATGAACAGAACTACATACAGTCTATCAAACCTGTTAGATTAGTGATACGCTCACTTGTGGAGGATCACATTTGCAGTCATTATCAACCAGAAAGGTATCACCCCACCAAACACACACACATAAACATTAAATATATAGAACTATGGTTTTAACTCAAGTTCATTGCTGGTCTTGTTATCACTTCTAACCAGGGGTATGCTTACTTCTGGGCATGCTGTTGAAGGTGCACAGCAAACCCCTGAACCCCCAAATTAGAAGTGGTATGTGAGAGAGCCAAGAGTGACTTGTGAACCTCGGAGTGATTACCACTGCATTAGATCACTGGCAATATGCTGAAAATTTTGAAACCTGTATTGCATGTTTTCCCGTAAATTTGCAAGCCCTGAATATATAGAATTAACAAGACTAAAAGTTTGCAGATTTGAAAGAAAATGGCTCAGTTCCTCTCATACCACCACTGCATAAACATTTCTTTTGTTTTCACTGATAATCCTTATTGGTAACCTGGAGTTCCGATGATCCTGCAGTCTGAAGTAGTTAATGTATTTAAATGATGCTTGATCATACAAGCACCCAACTAAAGACAGTCAAAGTTTTTTCCCCTCTCTTTCAGCAGTTTTTTTTTTCAGCAGGATTTTTCACTGATAAAATCAGAGGTTTGGGCTGGCTGCTTGGGTCATTTAGCAGCTAGGATAAACCAGCTTAGCCCAGGCTTGTCAAATCTTGGGAGTTAAGAAGGGTTGCCCATGGTCAATACTTGGATGGGAGAGACCACCAAGGAAGACTGGGGTTGCTATGCAAAGGAAGGCAATGGCAAACCACTTCTGCTCATCTCTTGCCTGGAATGCCCTGTGGATGGGGGTCACCATGAGTTGGTTGTGACTCAATGGCACACTCCTCTTCTTGGGTAATTCCTGAAAGGTAGTCCAGACCATCTGGTGTTACAGGGGGATGAGCAATCATGTCAGTAATAATACAGATAGCTATATATCCATACAACGATACAGCTAGCTATATAACTCCCTTTTTAAATATCAAGGATGAGCTTCAAATATTGGTGATTCCTTGGATCTGCCTCTCCAGGTACGAGGGCACTTCCACCAACGGGGGGGGCAATATTTCCTTAATTGTCCCCTCCTAATGCTCCACATCATATTCAGTGCTGTTCTTGGGGGATCCCCTGATTCTTGGGGGGAGGTGCAAAAGGGAGTGAATCTGCTCTCTTCTGGAGGTGGAGATTATTGAATCTAACCCTTGTAATAGTAGTGTCCAGACTGACAATACTGGGGA